AGAGAATGCACACATGAACAATATTAACAAAACTGTGAAAACTAGAAAGCACACACACACACACACACACACACACACACACACGCTCAGTTATCTTTGGGACCCCATGGACTATAGCCCACCAAGCTCCTCTGTCCATGGAATTTTCCAGGCAAGAATACTGGAGTGTGTTGCCATTTCCTACTCCAGGGGATCTTCCTGACCCAGAGATTGAACCTTCATCTCCTCCATCTCCTGCAATGGCAGGTGGATTCTTTACCACATCACCGGGGAAGCCCCAGAAAGCTAATGGGTGAGTGTTAACCCTCTGAGTAGGTCTGAGAAAGCTGAAATTTGCCTGTGGGCTGGGAGGGAAGAAGGGATAAGCATGGCAGAAGTCAAGGGGGCAAACTGTAGGAAATCAACCCTAAATATTCATTGAAAGGATTGATGCTAAAGCTCCAATACTGTGGCCACCTGATGTTAAGAGCAGACTCACTGGAAAAGACCCTGACACTGGGAAAGATTGAGGGAAAGAGGAGAAGGGGGCAACAGAGGATGAGATGGTTGGATGGCATCACTGACTCAATGGACATGAGTTTGAGCAAACTTCAGGAGATAGTGAAGGACAGGAAGGCCCGGCATGCTGCAGTCCAAGGGGGTCACAAAGAGTCAGACATGACTAAGTGACTGAGCAACAACAATAAAGGGGGCAAACTAACTCATTTGCAAAATCCCAGAAAAGCTCAAGAATCACAAGTACTGAGGTACGTCTGAAGACAGAAACAGAAAACAGAACAAATGGAACGGAAAACAAAGGAATGGGTTCAAAAACCTTTTTCAGCAGTTTAGTTTCCTAGATTTTCTCCCTGACTCTTGAGGGACCAGGATACTATAACTATCCTCTCACCATCGCATAAGACTCAAGGTTTACTTTGGAGAGACTATAGTAGAACTCTGGACTTTTGGACAACAGGCTCACCTATGGATGGGAGTATCATATTGAAAATAGATTAAATAAAGTCTATATGCTTAGTGGTCATTCTCCCACATGCCACCAGCAGCCTAGTTGATAACTCCCCAACCCCACCCAGGAGAAGACTAGAGAACTCTCAGAGTAAAAAAAGTAGTCCAAGAAAAAAGACCAACAAAGACAATGAGAAAGAAGAGATGAAGGTTCCCTTTTCAATTATCTGTCAAATGAGGAAGTAATCCCAAAAAAGATAATGGGATCCAGGATTCAGTGCATCCAATACAAGAGAACAGAATTCTCTTAAGATGGTGAGATCCCAGGACAATAATTATGCAACAGACCTGGAGAGCAACCAGATCAGATTGAAGCAGGAAGATAGAGGGCTCTCAGGAAAGGTTTTCTTCCAACAAAAATGGAAACAGATTACCAGTGTGAACATACTAAGAGGATATTTATACTTACTAACAGTGTTTGGGATGGATTACTGTAGATACACAGAAAATAAAGCAAACGGTAAAAAAAGAAAACAATTATCACAAAAGTTGCACAAAAAAGAAATTATCATGGTATATATGTTTCATGATTCACAATGGGTAATGATATGACCAAAAATGTGGTATACCTATGTTAGAGTAATGGGGTATGAAGAAGTGAAAGGAACCTAAATCCTCATCTTTCATAAGAGAAAGTCTATATAAGACTACTGTCTTTTTACCCAAAATCTTATAAAACTATTTCCATTTTATAACTTTTAGAAAATTTTTGAAGTCTGGTTTAAAACTATTTTAACAATAATAACACTTGTTATTAAGCTAACAACAGTTAATAACCTTAATTTTTATAAAAATTAAAATTATGTAAGACTTCAAAAAACCAAAAGGTATTATATCACATTATTTGAGATTCTTGAGTCAGCAAAATAGAAGAATTTCAGTGGGTTATGTGATTAGAGCTCAACGTGTGAGTCAGTGATTTGGGGGGTTGGTGATTTTTTTTTTTTTTAGCAATGACAAGATCCAAGATGTGACTATGTGACCAGGTGACTGAGAAAAAGAAGGGAATTAAGAAGCCAATGTGTCAGCTGAATTGTCAATCCAAATGCTGAAGATGACTAAAAATGATGATGTGTGACTGTGCTATTTTCCAGGTCCACTTTTCCACTCTTCACTACCATGTTTTCTGCCCCAGTCTGCTTGACCTCTATGGAAAAGATCAACAGGTTCCTGAGTCTCCTAGTTCAGGGTTGGGTTTGCCCAATGGGGTATCCCAAGAGAAGTCAGGAGAATAAGGTATAGATATTTATTCCTCCAACTTCCTCCCTGCAAAATCACCTCATGATGGCTAGGGCCCTTCAAATGAAAACTACCATTCCTCTCAAGGCAGTCAACTCCATACTCCTCTTGACAGCTCAAGAAGTAACCACTCCCTATCTTATTTCTTATGGCTTGGGGCTATTAACTGTTTGGCTCTAGGTTTCTACACTTTAATGGCACATTATATCTGTATCTTTATAAATAGTACCTTTATAAAACAAACCCTTCTCAAATTAACCTATTTCAAGTGTGCATCTTGGGACCTGACTGACTGTAAACAGTGATAATGATGATAATGGTGAAGATGCAGGGCTGTAATAAGAGACTCAGTTCAGTTCAGTCGCTCAGTCGTGTCCAACCCTTTGCAACCCCATGAACCCCAGCAGGCCAGGCCTCCCTATCCATCACCAACTCCCAGAGTCCACCCAAATACATGTCCATTGTGTCAGTGATGCCATCCAACCATCTCATCCTCTGTCATCCCCTTGTCCTCCTGCCCTCAATCGTTCCCAGCATCAGGGTCTTTTCAAATGAGTCAGCTCTTCACATGAGGTGGCCAGAGTATTGGAGTTTCAGCTTCAACATCAGTCCTTCCAAAGAACATCCAGGACTGATCTCCTTTAGGATGGACTGGTTGGATCTCCTTGCAGTCCAAGGGACTCTCAAGAGTCTTCTCCAACACCACAGTTCAAAAGCATCAATTCTTCTGCACTCAGCTTTCTTTATAATCCAACTCTCAAATCCATACATGACTACTGGAAAAACCATAGCCTTGACTAGACGGCCTTTGTTGGCAAAGTAAGATCTCTGCTTTTTAATATGCTGTCTAGGTTGGTCATAACTTTCCTTCCAAGGAGTAAGCGTCTTTTAATTTCATGGCTGCAGTCGCCATCTGCAGTGATTTTGGAGCTCAAAAAAATAAAGTCAGCCACTGTTTCCACTGTTTCCCCATCTATTTGCCATGAAGGGATGGGACCGGATGCCATGATCTTAGTTTTCTGAACGTTGAGCTTTAAGTCAACTTTTTTACTCTCCTCCTTCACATTCATCAAGAGGCTCTTTAGTTTTTCTTCACTTTCTGCCATAAGGGTGGTGTCATCTGCATATCTGAGGTTATTGATATTTCCCAGATTACAAAAATTAACTCAACACTAAGACCCCTGGTGGCTTCTTCAGTGGTAAAGAATCTGCCTGCCAATACAGGAGAAGCAGGCCCAATCCCTGAGTCTGGAAGAGCCTCTGGAGAAGAAAATAGAAACCCACTCCAGTATTCTTCTTGCCTGGGAAATCCTATGGACAGAGGAGCCTGGTGGGCTACAGTCCTTGAGGTAGCAAGAGTCCGATTCAACTTAGCAACTAAATAACGACAAATAAGACCATATAAAAACGATTTTCTTATGTAGCCTACAGTGAGTCTTAATTCCTTTCTCCTCTCATGTGGTCATCCAGGACTTGAGTTTCCGATTTTTTTTTAATGTAATATTCAAAGTCGACGTAGCAAATTTTAAAATACTTATTATGCACTTACAGCCAAGGAGCCCTCAAAAGGGCAGAGCATCTTTAAGTACTAGGTATGAGTTTTAAAAAAGAAATGGGAAGGGAGGGGGCAAATTTTATAATATGCTTAGGTGTATGAAATGCAAAAATAAGAAAGGTAAAGTCAACAAAATCACCAAGTATACATACCCACACAAAATTAAAGCAAAGCAAGGGTAAGTAGGAAAATTAGGGGAGGAAGCATAATGCACGTGATTCAAACGCACAAAATACAATGTATATGAAGTGAAGTGAAGTCGATCAGTCGTGTCGGACTCTTTGCGACCCCATGGACTGCAGCCTACCAGGATCCTCAGTCCATGGGATTTTCCAGCAAGAATACTGGAGTGGGTTGCCATTTCCTTCTCCAGGCGATCTTCCCGGCCCAGGGATTGAACCCGGGTTTCCCGCATTGTAGGCAGATGCTTTACCGTCTGAGCTACCAGGGAAGCCCGATCTGCCATTAAAAACAAATAAATATTTGAATATTAAAAGACAGGCTCCCAATAAATTAATCCCCTCATTGGATGCAGACAGAATTATCTGTAATAATCAAGGCAGCTTTGATATTTATACCTCATAGAGAAGGTCAAAATCAGGAGAAAGATAAGATTAGAGAACTGCAAAGATTTTCTGAAACCAGAATTGATTTTTTTTTTTATGTTGCACTCCAAAACACAAGAAAAAACTCACGAGGATAAGGATCGAGAAACCTGAGAAGCTACGAGAATACAATACTCAAACTAGAGTGAAAAGCAGCAAAGAACAGTTAAGATGTAAGCTACGACTGGAAAGGAATTACCAGACGTACACCTAGACACCGAAGAGAGACGGATAAAGCATCCTTAGAAGATAAAGACCGGGATTGGATTTGGTTAAAGAAAGACAAAACGGAAAAGCAAAGCCTAAGAAACAAGCAGCAGCAAGTGTAAAACTTAAAAGGAACAGATCGAAGCCACAAGCAAGAAGTAGAGGACTTACAAATCACATTCTACGGAGAGGGGAAAGGGCCACTTCGCGACCGACCAGTGCAACTAGTTTCCGAAAAGCGGCGGCGATGTAGGTTCGCAGCCCCACCCCGCGGGAGCAGCTCCTCCCCAAGGAAGACCTCACGAGGCCAACCGCTGGACTCCAGCTCGAGCCTAGGTCCTATCCAGCCCTGGCCCCGCGGCGCAGAACGGCCTCTCCCGGCCCCTCACCGAACGCTGCAGCTCCCCAAGCCAAAACGAGGCGCGCTCCTTTCCGCTGGGATCTGGGTCGTGGTACAGCGCCTGCACTGCCTGGTACACGAGCTGCAGTGTCGGCTTTGCTCCTTCCATGGTGGTAGAGGTGGTGGCGGCAGCGACGGCTCTGGCTCTTCTCCCGAGGCTCCTCCGGTTGCTCCGCCCTCGCGCTTCCTCACTGTGTCGGCCACGGCCGCTCCCTGACTGGCGCCATCTCCTCTTTGGCCGTTACCAGGGCAGATGAGTTCCTCGTGGAAGTAACCCCCTCGGAAACATAGGTTAGATCGTATTCAAGTTCCTGGTCGCTTTTCCCGATCTTCTCACAAGACTCCACACTTCTGAATCCAGACGCCGGTGGTAGCTTCCTGACCTGCTAACTTGCCCTCCGGAGGCTGTCCCGGCAAGACAGAGACCATGCAGCGTACCTCAGCAGCCTTTACCCGGACCGGAAGCGGCAGGACCAAAACCTTGGCACACTTCCGTCTGGTGCGTTGTAAACGGCCTCCGTGCCGGCACGCCTTCTCTTTTGTCCCCGCCCCCTCCCGGAAGTGACCCTACAGAGACTGGAGCCGGTAAGAAGATCTCGACATTTCTTGCCTGGGTCTGGAGCTCTGCGACCCTCGGGGCAGGCACACCTGTGCAGCTTTCCTCTCCTTGGCAATGGATCCGAGGTCTTCCCTCCCCCTTCCGACTTCTTCAGCCCTTCCCCCAGAATCTCTTAGGACCCCCGTGGACAAGGCGCGTCAATTCAACTGTGGCCTGACACTGAGTACTGGAAAGCCAAAGATGACTTAAGACAGCATTTGTATGCTGACTCTAATGGAGGAGACAGACATACAATCAAATAACTAGCGTACAAACCTGGGAAATGTGCCATGTTGAAAAAAATAGAAAATGCCTAGAACCCTCTTTCCGCGAAATTCTTACACCCAAAAGGGTGTAATTCTGTTGCTCAGGACACTGACTCCCGAGTATTTGCACAAACACACTGAATTCTGTTTTTGTGTATGCCTTTCATTCTGAGTCAAACATCAGTTCTACAACAATTATCAATACACAAGCGAATATAGAAATCTTGGAATCCGTACTAGGGAGAAAATTTCCAAACATGACTATGTCTCCTTTGCAATAATAAATAACTGCTACCATTTGATAAATGCTTACAATGTATGAAGCACTGTAGTTACAAGGTCTTATTTAATCCTTTTAACAGTTAATAGAAACTAAATCCCTGTTTTAAAGAATAAGAACTAGGTAATGTAATCTGCCCAAGGTTACAAATTTCTTGAATGAAAATCAGGATTTGATCCAAATCAATTTGGCTCCAGAGTCTGTTAAAGAATGCCATCTCTAACATTCTGTGTACTAGTTTCTGAATTGTTATTGCCGAAGGATTATAACTACCAAGATCGCAATGAAAACAGGTACTGTACTCTATATAATTTCTGACAAAAGGAAAGAAACTTGATATTTTGGTTACCTAATTCATCTATTCATTAAAAATTTAGTAAGACCATCTTGGTCTCTGCCCTCATGGAATTTATAGTCTAAATGCAAAGAAATACAAGTTACTCATTACACTTTAAAAGGTATATTAATATCCACAAGTAAAAGAATGATGTTGGACCTACCTTGCACCATATTAAAAAAAAAAAAAACTAAATGTAAGAGCTAAAATTATGAAACTGTTAGAAGAAAACAGGAGTATGTCTTCATGAACTTGGATTAGACAGTGGTTTGTTAGATACAGCACCAAAAGCCCAATTAACAAAAGGAAAAAGAGATAAACTGGACTTCATCAAAACTAAAATCTTTTGTGTCTCAAAGAACAATATTAAAAGAGTGAAATGAAAACCCACAAAATGAAAGAAAATACATACAACTCAAATATCTGATAAGGGATGAGTTGTTGTTCAGTCCCTAAGTCGTATCCAATTCTTCCTGATCCCATGGACTGAAGCATTCCTGGCTTCCCTATCCTTCGCTATCTCTAAAAGTTTGCTCAAACTCATGTCCATTGAGTCAGTGATGCCATCCAACCATCTTATCTTCCGTCACCCCATTCTCCTGTTGCCCTCAATCTTTCCCAGCATCAGGATATTTTCCAATGAGTTGGTTGTTTGCATCAGGTGGCCAAAGTATTGAAGCTTTAGCTTCAGCATCAGTCCTTCCAGTGAATGTTCAGGGTTGATTTCCTTTAGAATTGACCAGTTTGATCTCCTTGCTGTCCAAGGGATGCTCAAGAGTCTTCTCTGGGACCACAGTTCAAAAGCATCAATTCTTTGGTGCTCAGCCTTCTTTATAGTCCAACTCTCACATCCATACATGACCATTGGAAAAACCATACCTTTGACTAGACAGACCTTTGTTGGCAAAGTGATATCTCTGCTTTTTAGTACACTGTCTAGGTTTGTCATAGCTTTCCTTCCAAAAAGCAAGCATCTTTTCATTTCATGGCTGCAGTCACAATCTGGAGTGATTTTGGAGCCCAAGGAAATAAAGTCTCTCACTGTTTCCCCTGTTTGCCCATCTATTTGCTATGAAGCAGCAAGACTGGATAGCAAAGGCTAACAATTTCAAGTAATAAGTCACAGCTCTTTGTGGAACCATTGTTGGGGAGATATGTTGGAGATCACAATTTTATTNTCAACTCTTCACATGAGGTGGCCAAAGTATTGGAGTTTCAGCTTCAGCATCAGTCCCTCCAATGAACACCCAGGACTGATCTTCTTTAGGATGGACTGGTTGCATCTCCTGGCAGTCCAAGGGACTCTCAAGAGTTTTCTCCAATACCACAATTCAAAAGCATCAATTCTTCAGCACTCAGCTTTCTTTGTTGTCCAACTCTCACATCCATACATGACTACTGGAAATAAAATAGCTTTGATTATATGGACCTTTAATGGTAAAGTAACGTCTCTGCTTTTTATTATGCTGACGAGGTTTATCATAGTTTTTCTTCCAAGGAGCAAGAACCTTTTAATTTCATGGCTGCAGACACCATTTGGACCCCAAGAAAATAAAGTCTCTCACCACTTTCCATTGTTTCCCCATGTATTTGCCGTGAAGTGATGGGACCAGATACCATGATCTTAGTTTTTTGAATGTTGAGTTTTAAGCCAGAAGAAAACAGGAGTATGACTTCATGACCTTTGATTAAACAATGGTTTCTTAGATATGGCACCAAAGTACAGTTAACAAAAGGAAAAATAGATAAATTAGACTTCATCAAATCTAAAAACTTGTCTCTCAAAGTACACTATTAAGAAGGTGAAATAATCACCTGCAAAATGAGAGAAAATACTCCAGTCTCTTCTTTCACTTTCATCAAGAGGCTCTTTAGTTTCTCTTCACTTTCTGCCATAAGGGTGGTATCATCCGTGTATCTGAGGTTATTGATATTTCTCCTGGCAATCTTAATCCCAGCTTGTGCTTCATCCAGCCTGGCATTTCACATGATTTACTCTGCATATAAGTTAAATAAGCAGGGTGACAATATACTACCTTGTGTACTCTTTTCCCAATTTAGAACCAGTCCATTGTTCCATGTCCAGTTCTAACTGTTACTTCTTGACCTGCATACAGATTTCTCAGGAGGCAGGTCAGGTGATCTGGTATTTCCATCTCTTTAAGAATTTTCTGCAGTTTGCTGTGATCTACACAAAGGCTTTTATGTAATCATTAAGGCAGAAATAGATGTTTTTCTGCAATTCTCTTGTTTTTTCTCTGATCCATAGGATGTTGGCAATTTGATCTCTGGGTCCTCTGCCTTCTCTAAATCCAGCTTGAACATCTGGAAGTTCTCAGTTAACATACTGTTGAAGCCTGGCTTGGAGAATATTGAGCATTACTCTGCTAGGGTGTGAGATGAGTGCAATTCTGCAGCAGTTTAAACATTCTTTGGCATTGCTCTCCTTTGGGATTGGAATAAAACTGACTTTTTCCAGTCTTGTGGCCACTGCTGAGTTTTCCAAATTTGCTGGCATATTGAGTGCAGCACTTTCACAGCATCATCTTTCAGGATTTGAAATAGCTCAACTGGAATTCCATCACCTCCACTAGCTTTGTTCGTAGTGATGCTTTCTAAGGCCCACTTGACTTCACATTCCAGGATGTCTGGCTCTAGGTGAGTGATCACACCATTGTGATTATCTGGGTCATGAAGATCTTTTTTGTACAGTTCTTCTGTGTATTCTTGCCACCTCTTCTTAATATCTTCTGCTTCTGTTAGGTCCATACCATTTCTGTCCTTTATTGAGCCCATCTTTGCATGAAATGTTCCCTTGGTATCTCTAATTTTCTTGAAGAGATCTCTAGTCTTTCCCATTCTGTTGTTTTCCTCTATTTCTTTGCATTGATCACTGAGGAAGGCTTTCTTATCTCTCCTTGCTATTCTTTGGAACTCTGCATTCAAATGGGAATATCTTTCCTTTTCTCCTTTGCTTTTCGCTTCTCTTCTTTTCACAGCTATTTGTAAGGCCTCCTCAGACAACCATTTTGCCTTTTTGCATTTCTTTTCCATGGGGATGGTCTTGATCCCTGTCTCCTGTACAATGTCACGAACCTCCGTCCATAGTTCATCAGGCACTCTGTCTATCAGATCTAGTCCCTTAAATCTATTTCTCACTTCCACTGTATAGTCATAAGGGATTTGATTTAGGTCATACCTGAATGGTCTAGTGGTTTTCCCTACTTTCTTCAATTTAAGTCTGAATTTGGCAATAAGGAGTTCATGATCTGAGCCACAGTCAGCTCCCAGTCTTGTTTTTGCTGACTATTCAGTGCTTCTCCATCTTTGGCCACAAAGAATGTACTCAATCTGATTTCTGCATTGACCATCTGGTGATGTCCTTGTGTAGAGTCTTCTCTTGTGTTGTTGGAAGAGGGTGTTTGCTATGACCAGTGCATTCTCTTGGCAAAACTCTCTTAGCCTTTGCCCTGCTTCATTTTGTACCCCAAAGCCAATTTTCCTGTTACTCCAGGTATCTCTTGACTTTCTACTTTTGCATTCCAGTCCCCTATGAAGAAAAGGACATCTTTTTTTGGTGTTAGTTATAGAAGATCTTGTAGGTCTTCATAGAGCCACTCCGCTTCTTTGGCATTAGTGGTTGAGGCAGAGACTTGGATTTCTGTGATATTGATTTGCCTTGGTAACGAACAGATAGCAGTCTGTCTTTTCTGAGAGTGCACTCAAGCACTGCATTTCGGACTCTTTTGTTGACGCTGAGGGCTACTCCATTTCTTCTAAGGGATTCTGGCCCACAGTAGTAGATATAATGGTCATCTGAATTATATTTGCCCATTCCAGTCCATTTGAGTTCACTGATTCCTAAAATATCGATGATGTTCACTCTTGCCATCTCCTGTTTGACCATTTCCAATTTACCTTGATTCATGGGCCTAACATTTCATTTCCTATGCAATATTGTTCTTTACACCATCAGACTTTACTTCCATCACCAGTCACATCCACAACTGGGTGTTGTTTTTGCTTTGCCTCAGCCTCTTCATTCTTTCTGGAGCTATTTCTCCACTCTTCTCCAGTAGCATATTGGGCACCTACTGACCTGGGTAGTTCTTCTCAGTGTCCTATCTTTTTTTTTTTGCCTTTTCATACTGTTCATGTGGTTCTCAAGGCAAGAACACTGAAGTGGTTTGCCATTCCCCTCTCTAGTGTACCATGTTTTGTCAGAACTCTCCACCATGACTGGTCTGTCTTGCGTGGCCCTACATGGCATAGTTCATAGTTTCATTGAGTTAGACAAGGCTGTGATCCAAGTAATCAGTTTGGTTAGTTTTCTGTAATTGTGGTTTCCATTCTGTCTGCCCTGTGATGGATAAGGATAAGAGGCTTGTGGAAGCTTCCTGGTGGGTGGGACTGGCTCTGAGGGAATCTGGGTCTTACTCTGAAATCTTTAATCCAATTTTCTGCTGATGGGTGGGGCTGTGTCCCCGCCCCCCCCCCCCAGCTTGGCTTGAGGCCAAACTATGATGAGGTAATGCTGACCTCCTTCAAAACAAGGGGTCAAAGGCTAAGAGAGTTTTGCCAAGAGAATGCACCGGTCATAGCAAACATCCTCTTCCAACAACACAAGAGATGACTCTAAACATGGACATCAGCAAATGATCAATACCAAAATCAGATGGATTATATTCTTTGCAGCCAAAGATGGAGAGACTCTCTACAGTCAGCAAAAACAAGACCAGGAGCTGACTGTGGTTCAGATCTTGAGCTCCTTACTGCAAAATTCATACTTAAATTGAAGAAAGTAGGGAAAACCACTAGACCATTCGTGTATGACCTATATCAAATTCCTTACCGTTATACAGTGGAAGTGACAAATAGATTCAAAGTATTAGATCTGACAGAGTGCCTGAAGAACTTGGACAAAGGCTCATAACATTTTACTGGAGGCAGTGATCAAAACCATCCCCAGGAAAAAGAAATGCAAGAAGGCAAAATAGTTGTCTGGGAGGCCCTAGAGATAGCTAAGAAGGGAAAGGCAAAGGGGAATGGGGAAGAGATACCCGATTGAATGCAGAGTTCCAGAGAATAGCGAGGAGAGATAAGAAAGCCTTCTTAAGTGAACAATGCAAAGAAACAGGAAACAAAAGAATGGGAAAGACCAGAGATCTCTTCAAGGGATTAGTCATTATCCAGAATATATAAAGAACAGTTCAACAATGAAATGACAAGATAAGGTTTGGTTACTTGAAAGACTAATCAGATGATTAGAGGGTTGCAACTTTAGGCCAGATTAAGTGCAATCAGTAACACTGATATCAATATAATGTACCTAGTAATGAAACCCTGATCAAAACACTGGACATCAAAGCTCAGTAGAGATTTCTGGTTGAGGAACATGTTTGTATGCCAGAAAGGTGACATATCCTGACTCCACCCAGACAGGACAGCTGTGTCTTCTTCCCACAACTTGCCCTTTTAAGTAAAACTTCAGTTATAAATGTAGTGCTTAACTGAGTTCTGTAAGTTTTTCTAGAAGAGTTTCAAACCTGTGGGGGTAGTGGGAACCCTTGAATTTGTAACCAGTTGCTCAGTAGTGCAGGTGGCCTGGGGACTCCTGAAGTAAGACTGACATCCAAAGTGAGGGTAGTGAGGGGGGCTGAGCCTTTCAGCCTGTGGAGTCTGATACTACAGACGGTGTCAGAATTGACTTGCCCTTCACCCCCCTAGGGTAGAAACAGGACAAGTAAGATGTTCACAAAGACTGTAATTTAGCATAAGTCCTATCCCCCCAATTAATCAAATATGTTAACATTTATTAAACGCAGGGAATAGGTAATTGTGGTCACTATACCATTGTCTCTACTTCTCTGAAAGTTTGCAAATTAAAACAAATGTCATAACTGGAAAAATTATGTTAGTTTATTTATTGACATGAAAAGATAGCAAAATATTATTGAAAAAGAAACAGGTTATGACAGCATATAAAAATACTCATTGACAGGAAATCATACCTATGTTTCTATATAAGTAGAGCGGTATCTGGAGAAGGCAATGGCAACCCACTCCAGTCCTCTTGCCTGGAAAATCCCATGGACGGAGGAGCCTGGTAGGCTGCAGTTCATGGAGTCTCGAAGAGTCGGACATGACTGAGCGACTTCACTTTCACTGTTCACTTTCATGCCTTGGAGAAGAAAATGGCAACCCACTCCAGTGTTTTTGCCTGGAGAATCCTGGGGACGGGGGAGTCTGGTGGGCTGCCGTCTGTGGGGTCGCACAAAGTCGGACACGACTGAAGTGACTTAGCAGCAGCAGCAGCAGAAAAGTATCTGGAAGAATTTTCAACAGAATGTTAACACAGGTTAGCTGCAGTAATGGACTTTTGAGTGGTTTCTACTTTCTTTTTTCTGTGTATTTCTTCATAGCATTTATCACCACGTGACACCTTCCATATTTTTATTATTTTTTGGCTATTCCCTCCATTAACATGGAAGCTCTCAGTAACGTCATATCCCCAGAGCTTTCAGTGGTTCCTGGCATATGGCAGGAACACAATAAATATTTGCTAAATGCATTAATAGTGTTTCTATGACTTGAATTTTTCTTTATAATGATTATTTACACTTTTAACAAATATATTTTCTCAAAATCAACATGGTTTTTTTCCCCAAACAGTGACGCTGTAAACTTGAAGTCATAACCATCAGGAGCCGCTGCCAACTCAGTCGTGGTGACTGTTGGCCCAAAGGCCACACGCACAGACCTCTTCCGGCCCAGCTTCAACCCATAGGGCACATATCTTGTATCATATTCCTCCAGCTGCACAACCCAAGACAGTCATATACCTGGTATTAAACCTCTTTCCTTTCATTAAACCCACATCCGGGGCTCATGTGCTGAGGACAGCATTTGCCTTTGTGTGGCTCTCCAGCTCAGAATTTTCTCAGTCATGGCCAGCTTTGCTCCCAATTTCCCTTGCAAAGCAAATTCAAACCAGTGAGAGGGATCAGGAGAGGAGGATGGTGAATAGAGATCATAAATTTCTATGGAATAGGAAGAACATGAATTAACTGTCCACAGTCAAAAGGGGCCTTGTTGAAAGAGGGATGTTCTGAGGGACAGTTCTGATAGAGTGGGGTGGCAAGACACTAAGGAGGTTGGAATTTTTCTGAACATTCACAAAGTGATAATCTTTTCAGAAAAAAAAATGCTGTACAGAGAACCTAAGAGCAATGGTACAGAAAAAACATACACAGTTCAGTAAAGGTCCACCCACCTGCCCCTAGTTCCTTCTTGTGCTCTGTCATGTCCGACTCTTTGTGGCCTCATGGACTATAGCCTGCCAGACTCCACTGCCCATGGAATTTTCCAGGCAGGAATACTGGAATGGGTTGCCATTTCCTACTCCAGGAGATCTTCCCAACCCAAGGACCAAACCCACGTCTCCCATGTGCATGTCCTGCATTGGCAGGCAGATTCTTTACTACTAGTGCCACATGAGCAGCACCCTCCTTCTCCTTAATCCCTCACAAAGTCTTCCTTCCCCTGTTAACTCTTCTCTTTGGAAGCCAGACACACAGGAGGGGAAATGTAGCCTTATTCCAACAAGATTAACATTTTATGTCATATAACATCCACAGTTTATTGATTTTTAGTCCAGCTTTACTTCAGTGTATTAAGCAATACACTGGTGCTCATATGTTGTGAGTCAAACTGTCACCCAGTCAGGCTGATGGAAGATGACACTCCCCTCACAAAAGCAGAAGGCTCCTGGAAAATGCCACACACAGAGGAGCCTGGAAGGCTGTAGTCCATGGGGTCTTAAAGAGTCAGACACAACTTAAAGCCTGAGTAGGCGTTCACGCACACACCAGCTGGCTACAGGGAGAAAGAAAATGACTCTCCCTTATATGGCATGGTGGAAGGAGGGCTATCCTAAACATTAGACCCCGGGTACCAGTCCCAGCAGCACTTTCTTCTAGCTATGTGAGTCTAAGTAAGTAAGTAAGTAAGTGTTAGTCGCTCAGTCGTGTCCGACTCTTTGCCACCCCATAAACTGTGGTCCTCCAGGCCTCTCTGTCTATGGGATTCTCCAAGCAAGAATATTGGAGTGGATTGCCATCCCCTTTTTCAGAGGATGTTTCTGACCCAGGGATTGAACCCAGGTCTCCTGCATTGCAGGCAGCTTCTTTATCATCTGAGCTACAGGGAAGTCCTATGTGACTCTGAGTATCAATAACTACTTTCCTAAACTGGATTTCCCTGCCAAAAGCAGCATGATTCCTACCCATCCAACTTACAAGGAGGTGCAAGTAAGATCGATGAATGCGCCGTGGAATTGGCTCATTGTTTACAGTGGGTTCTTTATACCCCTAAGGGCTTCCATGGTGGTTCAGACAGTAAAGAATCCACCTACTATGCAAGAGACCTGGGTTGGATCCCTGGGTCAGAAAGATCCCTTGGAGAAGGGAATGGCAACCCACTCCAGTATTTTTGCCATGGAAAATTCCATGGGCAGAGGAGCCTGGTGAGCTACAGTCCATGGGCTCCCAAAAAGTTGGACATAACTTAGTGCCCACACAAAGCAGCTGTAAAGCAATTAGCATTTTACAAAAATATGGAGTCAAACTGTCACTTATGGTCTTATTGAGACACTTAGAAATCACAAGTTCTTACCCCCAAACCAAGTCTTTTCAAATATAGGACGGATAGTGTATTAATGATCTCTCCAGGCAATCAACAAGCCAAAGACTTGGCTACTTCACCAGCCAAGCACCAATAAACACTGACACACTTTCTGGGGTCCAAATGCTTACCAGCTGGCTCTCGCTTCTGGAAGAAATTAGATATTTAGATCCACTTTATGACTCTCACCTTCCCTGCCACTCTGCTTAGCAGGCACTGATCACATACCTGCTCTGGTTTTATGCCGTAGTAACCGGACTCCAGGGCCTATTTCCGTGAACAAATCCAATGCCCTCATCATTGTCCCCCAGGCTTCTAGATCTCTCTACAACCTCAGACGTCCCAACTTCCCTCTTCCCCCAGCACCCTAATACTTCACCTTCCAAAACTCTCCGATGTCACTTTATTCTCAATGGTGCCTATCAACCCAGTTGCACATTAAAATTGCCTGGGGGTACTTTAAACATTGGGTACTCCAATGCCTGGGTACCTCCTTAGACGTCTTAAATCAGAAACCCTGGGGCTAGGTCAGGGATTAGGTGGTTCTAATGTGTACCTAGTTTGTTGGCTGCATGTTCATTTAGTCATTTGAGAGTTTCTCAGCAGAAGAGCTACTGGCATTGGGGACAGGACCATTTGTGCAAGTGTGATTCAAGCCTCATGGAGTATCACTTGCACACCCCAGTTCCAGTCGTGGTGACAACCAAAAACACACCAACATCTCCAAATGCCCCCACTTGAGAATCTCACCAACTCCTTTTCCTTTTGTACTTCTCCAGAGTGAAAGGCCCTCCCTTCCCACGCCACTCTTCAATTCTCAAGTGACCAATTGTTCTAGTTTGCTCAGGACCCAGGGGTTTCCCAGGACATGAGGCTCTCAGTGCTAAATCTAGGAAGGTCCCAGGCAAACCTCAGTGGTTAGTCACCACAGATTTCCTTCTCTTGCCTCCCATGAGAGATCCTCATTGTTTTGTCTGTCTCTCTCACCTGTTTTCTGGGAACTGGCCCTTCCCAACCCCATTCCAGGGTTATATTGGGAACAACCTTGAGGAGGTTGCTGACATAAGCTGGGCCACCTGAGTTCCTCCCCCAGAATTTGCAGTTGGAACTGGATGCTAGTCTAAATTTGGCCAGTGCTTCTAAAGAGATTTAAATTTGGGAATTGGTGGCCATTTCCTACAGATTTTATTGTCTTGGTCTCCAAAATCACTGTGGACAGTGATTGCAGCCGTGATATTAAAAGATGCTTGCTCCTTGGAAGAAAAGCTATACAAAACTAGATAGCACATTAAAAAGAAAAGACATCACTTTGCCAGCAAAGGTCCATATAGTCAAAGCTATGGTTTTCCAATAGTCATGTATGGATGGGAAAGTTGAACCAGAAAGAAGGCTGAGAGCCAGTGAATTGATGTTTTTGAATTGTGGTGCTGGAAGACTCTTGAAAGTCCCTAGAACTGCAAGGAGATTAAACCAGTCAACCCTAAAGGAAATCAACCCTGAATATTCATTGGAAGGACTAATGCTGAAGCTGAAGTTCCAATACTTTGGCCACCTGATTGGAAGAGCTGACTCATTGGAAAAGACCCTGATGCTGGGAAAGACTGAAGGCAAAAGGAGAAGAGGGCAACAGAGGATGAGATGGTTAGTTAGCATCCTCAATTCAATGGACATGGATTTGAGCAAACTCTGAAAGACAGTGAAGGACAGAGGAGCCTAGCATGCTGTAGTCCGTGGGGTCACAAAGAGTCTGACATGATTTAGCGACTGAACAATAGCAACACTTTCCTACAGTGAAGACTACTGTTAGGTGTCAGGGGGGTTGGGTGATACAGAAAATCTGTCTGCAGCAACAAAGGAAACATGTGCCCAAAAAGAAACACGTGCAGAAGTGAGGAGGAAACTTCCTGGCTTCCATATGGTGCTCAAGTAGTTCTCAAACTTGAGCCTGCATCAGCATCCCCTTAAAACACTGTTTTTTGGGCTGCACCCCTAGAGTTTGTGATTCAGTCAGTCTCTTCAGTGGTCCAAGGGTCTACTTTTCCAAGAGTTTCCAGGTGGTGTTGATGCTGCAAATTAGGAATTTTGTGAGGACCCCTCCTCTGGGCCAGAATTTCAGCATTGATAGATTTTTTTTGGCCAATCTGAAGCACAGAGACTTAACCACTGGATGGCCAGGGAATTTCCAAGTAATTCCCAAGTCTATATCTGATTAATTCCCCCACTTCTTTTCCTCAAACTTTGAGGGCTCAACAAGCTCAGCCCCACCCTAGTGTTACATGGGTTACATGAGTCTGTACCTTTTTAAAAAACCCTGGTTTCTGGAACTTGGCTGCTATCCCCAGATTTTCTAATGTAATTGGTCTGGCATGTGGCCCAAGTCTCTGGACTGATTGATTCATTATTTTTGGCTGAGCTGCTAGGCATGTGAGATCTTAGTTCCCCAACCAGGGATCAAACCTGTGCCCCCTGCAGTGGAAGCATGAAGTCTTAACCACTGGACTGCCAGGGAAGTCCCAAGTCTGTATCTTTCTAATAAATTCCTCCTCTTCTTTTTCTCAACTAGCTTTATGGAAATATAATTCATATATAGTACAATTTCCCCACCTCAAAGTTCCAATTCAATGATTTTTAATAGATTCACAGATACATACAACTGTCACCAATTTTAGAACAATTTTTATCACCTCAAAAGAAACCCTGTCCCCTTTAGCTATCACTCCTCTCCCCAAGCCCTCCTCTCCCCACCCCTGCCCTCAGCAACTACTAACCTATGTTATCTTCATGGAGATTTCCCTATTGCACAGATTTCATGTGAATGGAATTATGTATTTATGTAGCCTTTTTTTAACTGATTTCTTTCACTTGACATGAAGTTTTCAAGATTTATCTGCACTATAGCATGGGTCAATAATACTTCATTCCCATTCATAGCCTTTGCTCATTTTAAATTGGGTTATCTCGGCAGCAGTGCGAGGAGGTTGTGGCATGTGCTTCTTCCAGGCTATTTGAGGGGACCCCTGAAGTCCCAATTCAGTTGCCTCCTGGTCCCCGCCTTGTGTTGCTCCAGCCAGGATGATCGAGGTTGTTTGCAACGACCGTCTGGGGAAAAAGGCGCGCATTAAGTGCAATACGGATGACACCATCAGGGACCTTAAGAAGCTGATCGCAGCCCAAACTGGCACCCGTTGGAACAAGATCGTACTGAAGAAGTGGTACACGATTTTTAAGGACCACATATCTCTGGGGGACTATGAAATCCACTATGGGATGAACCTGGAGCTTTATTACCAAAAGAACAGAATTCCTTCTTCCTGCCCTTCCCCCTCCTCCCACCCTCACTTCCCACACTAATATGGATGCTTGTTTTTGGAAACTCATGTTAATAAAAACTTAGAGGCTAAAAAAAAAAATTGGGTTATCTTTCTTTTTTCTTCTTCTTTTTTTGTTTTTTCATTTTTTTCCTTTTTTTATTTTTAGGGTTATCTTTTTTATTACTGAGTTATAACAGTTCTTTATATATACTGGATACAAGTCTGTCTTTTTTAAAAAAAAACTTTTTATTTTGTGTTGGGGGTATTACCTGTTAAAAATGTAGTGATAGTTTAGGTGAACAAGAAAGGGACTCAGCCATACATATACATGGATATAAGTTTCTTATTCAATATGATTTGCAAATATTTTCTCCCATTCTGTACATCATCTTTTCACTTTCTTGATAGTGCATGCTGAATATTTGTGCCCCTCAAAACTCATATTTTGAAATCTTAATGTCTAATGTGATGGTATTAGTATGTAGGGCCACGGGAAAATGCTCAGGTCAGGAGAATGCAGCCCTCACAAATGGCATTATGCTCTTATCAAAGAGACACCCCAGAGCTCCCTAGTCCCTTCTGCCATGTGAGATCCCAACAGGAAGTCTGCGACCCAGAGAAGGGCCCTCTCCCAGCCAGGCTGGCACCCTGATCTCAGACTTTCAGCCTACAAAACAGTGAGGATTTCTGTTTTTTTATAAGCTGTTCAGTCTGTGACAGTTTGTGACAGCAGTTTGAATGGACTAAGCCAGTGTCCTCTGAAGCACAAAACTTAAATTTTTATCAAAGTTCAGTTTGTCTACTTGTTGCTTTTGCTCCTCATGTTCTAGGTGTCATTTCTAGGAATCTTTTGCCAAATCTAAGATCATAAAGATTTATCCCATGTTTTCTTCTAAGAATTAAATAGTTTTATATCTTACATCTTATAAAGGAAATCAGTCTTGAATATTCATTGGAGGGACTGATGCTGAAGCTGAAGCTCCAATACTTTGGCCACCTGATGTGAAGAACTGACTAATTAGAAAGGGCCCTGATGCTGGGAAAGATTGAAGGCAAGAGGAGAAGGGGACAACAGAGGATGAGATGGTTGGATTGTATCACCGACTCAACGGACATGAGTTTGAGCAAGCTCTGGGAGTTGGTGATGAACAGGGAAGTCTAGCNGAAGAATTGATGCTTTTGAACTGTGGTGTTGGAGAAGACTCTTAAGAGTCCCTTGGACTGCCAGGAGATCCAACCAGTCCATCCTAAAGGAAATCAGTCCTGAATACTCACTGGAAGGACTGATGCTAAAGCTGAAACTCCAATATCTGGAGTTTGACCACCTGATGTGAAGAACTGACTCATTGGAAAAGACCCTGATGCTGGTAAAAATTGAAGGCAGGAGGAGAAGGGGACAACAGAGGATGAGATGATTGGATGGCATTACCGATTCTATGGACATGAGTTTGAGTAAGCTCCGGGTGTTGATGATGGACAAGGAGGCCTGGCATGCTGCAGTCCATGGAGTCACAAAGAGTCGGATACCACTGAGCAATTGAACTGAACTGAACTCCCCTTGGCCCCAGCTAGTGACTGTCCTAATCTTTAGATCAGAACTATCTCCACTATGATAGTTTCCTTGGCAACTGATGAGCCAACCTGATATCAATTCTCCCACAATTGGTAAACTCCCTCTTCCTGTGGTAGGGAAGACTACTGCCTTGTCCTGCCTGCTATCTGCTGCCCATGGTGGGGTGTCACTCGAGCTCCCTCATCCTTTAAACTCCTGATGTTTCTGTCACCAATTCCTGGCTCTTTTTTCTGGTCTTGAAGTTGGGCAATTACAGGCCTTGCAGGCCTGTGGGGTGCAGCCCAACACATCCATTTTGAGCTAATTTTTGTATGTCCTATGAGAACTTTATTCTTTTGTATGTGATATTTTTTTGCAATAAGAATGGAAGCCTTTACCATATGAGCCAACAATTTTATTTTTTTTCCCAAGAAAAACTGAAAACAGGAACCTAAAAACTTATTTGTATACCCATGTTCTATTCATAACAGCTAAGGGAGGGAAGCAATCCAAATGTCCATTAACAGATGAATGAGTAAACAAAATGTGGTATACACATACAGTGGAATATTATCCAGCCTTAAAGAGGAATTCTGACACATGCTACAACATGGATGAATTTTGAGGACACTGAGCTAAGTGAATTAAGCCAGTCACAATAGATAAATATGGTGTGATTCCACTTATAGGAGTAACTAGGATAGTCGAATTCACAAAAACAGAAAGTAGAATGGCGGTTGCCAGGAGCTGGGCCGAATGGGGAGTTGCTTAATGAATCCAGAGTTTCAATTTTATAAGATGAACAATTTCTGGAGATTGGTTGCACAATGATGTAAATATAGTTAATGGTACTGTTCTGTACACTTAAAAATGGTTAGGATTTTACATCATACATTTTTTTACTGCAATAAAAATAATTTAGAAATGTTTGAAAGTTTTCAAAGAAGGCCTCAGAATTTGGTCAAAGGAAGACAATTAGTATCGAGATTTAGCTAGAGCTGAGGACACAACCAGTCCATCCCAAAGGAGATCAGTCCTGAGTGTTCATTGGAGGGACTGATGCTGAAGCTGAAACTCCAATCCTTTGGCCACCTCATGCGAAGAATTGACTCATTGGAAAAAAACCCTGATGCTGGGAGGGATTGAAGGCAGGAGGAGAAGGGGGGCGACAGAGGATGAGCTGGTTGGATGGCATCACCGACTAAATGGACATGGGTTTGAGTGGACTCCGGGAGTTGGTGATGGACAGGGAGGCCTGGCGTGCTGCAGTCCATGGGGTCACAAAGAGTCGGACACAACTGAGCGACTGAACTGAACTGAACTGAACTGAAGTACGCTTCCTAGGTTTAATTTCTGGAAATGTTTATATTACCTTTTAATTATCCTGTAGGGATGTCTCTGCTCAGAGAATCATCCCGGTCCCCAAGACAACAGTAAACAGTGAGACAAAGGAACAGACTGCATGACTCTCAGTGTGTTTCTGTCATGCCATGGGAACCCTTCTGGGTCATCACCTACTGTGTTCCAGGATTTAGAGTGCATTCTAAAATACCACTCAGCACTGGTGATGGATTAAGCTTCTCTAGGGAAAGAGAACTCTTACAAGGCTGGGGCAACAAGCAAAGGGAAAGCAGGGGTCTCCCGTGCAGAGAGGTGAGCTGGGGTAGTGTGCTCTTCTGGATATAGAGTTCTGGATATATACCTTGTTCTCACAGGGCTGACGAACTATGATGGAGTGAGTTAACAAATTTCTGACCAAAAAAGATGGCTGGAGAAAACATTTTTTGGAGTATACCATTCCCTGCTGCTGCTGCTGCTGAGTCATTCCAGTTGTGTCTGACCCCATGGACTCTAGCCTGCCAGGCTCCTCTGTCCCTGGAATTCTCCAGGCAAGAATACTGGAATGGGTTTCCATGCCCTTATCCAGGGCATCTTCCCAACCCAGGGATCAAAGCTGGGTCTCCTGCATCACAGGCAGATTCTTTACCACTGAGCCACCAGGAAAGCCCAAACTATTCCCTGACCCGGGTTCATATAACAACAAATGTTCAAAGGCTCAGAGCATATTTCAGTTCAGTTTCAGTGTGATAATCTTGTTCCTGTGCTACCATTTCACCTCCTGTTAGTAACAGCTTCACCATGCCCTCAATGTCTATAGGTACCATGGAGGGAAAAACACAACAAAGAAAAATCACTAGTCAGAATTTTTAACAAGAGAAGGGCCAGCAGCAATAGACCCTACCACAAAGAGAAAATCATAATGAAGTTATTTCCCAAACAGCCTGAAAGTTTTTTCTCTTTCAGAAATAGCAGTCTAAACAATTTTTGGCAAATCTCCCAATTCGGCAAATCTCGTTCCAAGAATAAATAGTAGCAAAAAATTGCCTATGCTTGCATGCGTGAGTGCTCAGTAGCATCATTTGTGTCTGACTCTTTGTGACCCCATGGACTAGAGCCCGCCAGGCTCCTTTGTCATTGGAATTCGCCAAGCAAGGATACTAGAGTGGGTTGCCATGACCTCCTCCAGGGGACCTTCCCAACCCAGGGATCAAACCCAGGTCTCCTGCATTGTAGGCTGATTCTTTACCACTGAGCCACCAGGGAAGCCCTACCTGTGTTTACCATGTGCCAAGAACTTATCTAAGAATCTTACATACATTATCTCATTTAATCATCACACCAACCCTACAAGGTGAGCACTCATTTTATGCCCCTTTTATATAGGAGGAAACTAAGAAGAGGTGGCAAGAATACATAGAAGAACTGTACAGAAAAGAACTTCACGACCCAGATAATCACAATGGTGTGATCACTCACCTAGAGCCAGACATCCTGGAATGTGAAGTCAAGTGGGCCTTGGGAAGCTTCACTACGAACAAAGCTAGTGGAGGTGATGGAATTCCAGTTGAGCTATTTCAAATCCTAAAAGGTGATGCTGTGAAGGTGCTACACTCAATATGCCAGCAAATTTGGATAACTCAGCAATGGCCACAGGACTGGAAAAGGTCGGTTTTCATTCCAATCCCAAAGAAAGGAAATGCCAAAGAATGCTCAAACTACTGCACAATTGCATTCATCTCACACATTAGTAAAGTAATGCTCAAAATTCTCCAAGCCAGGCTTCAGCAATATGTGAACCATGAACTTTCAGATGTTCAAGCTGGATTTAGAAAAGGCAGAGGAACCAGAGATCAAATTGCCAACATCTGCTGGATCATCAAAAAAGCAAGAGAGTTCCAGAAAAACATCTATTTCTGCTTTATTGACTATGCCAAAGCCTTTGACTGTGT